GGGGAGGTGAGCTGGGCGCTCAGGTCCAGGGACGGGTCTGCCAGGGGTAAGGGGGGCGGTGGGGGGAGGGTACACATGTTCACGAGCGCCCTTAGGGACATCCAGGTGCCCAGGCCCAATGGTGCCCCTAGACTTGCACAGTGACGCGCACAAAGTACCAGCGTTACCGGGGCCGGGAGGATGGACTGTGAGGCACGCCCTGAGATGGACACACACACACTCACACACACACACACACACACACACTCAGGAGGGTGGCACAGAGCCGTTGGTCAGCGTCCTAACCTCACTGACCTCTCCCTTAGCTCCTTGCTCACCCTACTTCAGCCTCTCCTGCCTCCTGGCAGTTCCTTTAAAATGCCAGTTCCTTTAAACTCTCCAGATTTCCTCATGGCCAACTGCCTTGCCTCCTTCGGGCATCAGCTCAAAATTCAGCTTCCAGTGGGTCCTACTCTGACACCCTTATTTTTTTAAAAATATATTTTATTGATTTTTTTACAGAGAGGAAGAGAGAGGGGTAGAGAAATTAGAAACATTGATGAGAGAGAAACATTGATCAGCTGCCTCCTGCACACTCCCTCCTGGGGATGTGCCGGCAACCAAGGTACATGCCCTTGACCCGAATCGATCCTGGGACCCTTCAGTCTGCAGGCCTACACTCCATCCACTGAGCCAAACTGGTTAGGGCTGATACCTTTATTTTTTTTTTAAGTTTATTTTTTATTTATTTTTTACTTAGAGAGAGTGAGAAAGGGAGAGGGATATATAGAGAGAAACATTGATGAGAGAGGAACATAAGTTTATTTTTTATTTTTTTTTACTTAGAGCAAGGAAGGGAGAGGGATATATAGAGAGAAACATTGATGAGAGAGCAACATCATCCATGGGCTGCCTTCTGCTCACCCCCTACTGGGGATGGAGCCTGCAACCCTGGCATGTGCCCTGACTGGGAATCAGCGACCTCTTGATTCCTGGGTCGATGCTCAACCACTGAGCCACTTCAGCCGGGTGGGCCTGAACCCCTATTTTAAAAATTGCAACCTACCCATTCATCTTGCTCTACTCTCCCCTACCCCGCTCTGTTCACCTTCTAACTTATTATATTCTGTGCTTTAAATTCTCTTTGTCCCTCCTAAGTGCCCCCTAACCTCGACCCATGTAAGCACCATTATAGCTGGGCTCTTTGCCTGTTTTATTCACTGATGTATCACAAGAACCTAGAACAGTGCCTGACACTTAGCAGTGCTAAATCATACACGTTAAATGAATAATTAACTAACACAGTTACATATACCTACATGCACACCCCCAGCCAAGCACAGAAAATTTTGTGCGGGCACACACAGCAACTCACATATTATGATGCCCATAAACATGATACAACCTCCCCACCCTCTCCCTGGAGCCCCCGGGACAATTCTCTCTTGACCAGAAAATCCCCTCATCCCCACCACCCAATGCAGGGACAGAAAACCTGGCAGCTGTCTTGGCCATGGGACTGGCAGAGGGGGCTGTCCTGGCCTCAGTCCTTCATGCTTTTAATGCCCCGGGGAGGGGCATTTGGTGCCAGTGTCCATCCCCACAATCATGGAGAAGACAGCTGACAGGGCCCACCGGACATTACCATGGTGCTGAGCAGGTGCAGAGCAGCACAGCAAAGGGTCTCTGGCCAGGACCTCCGAGGCCCTTTATGTTCCTTCAGGTCTATGTCCCTTTCCCTGTAAGGTCCCACCCCCAGCTTGACCTCCTTATCCTGCCCCTATGTTATAACCTGGGAGTTGGGAACAGGGAGAGGGTGGGGGTGGAAGCACATGGACTGCTAGCTGTCCTGACCTGCACAGTCCCTGCCAGGGGCCCAGAGGCGTGGGTGGCAGAGGTGGAGGCACTGGGGAGTAGGGGAACTTTTGGCTTCAAGTCTACGGATACTAAGGAGGAACCAACACTGAGGTTAAGAGGGGGCTGTGCTTTTCCCAGGGGCCTTCTCTCAGCATTGGGAGGGCGGCTATGCTGAGAGACCAGACCTTCCCATCCAGCTGGATCCAGGGTGCCTCCTTTCCCCGTTGAGCTGCTGTGAGGCCTCAGCACCCTTATTTCTGGCCTCTAGGCCCGCTAGTATGGGGAGGGGGTGAAGATTTTCTTGGCCTGCCTCACCCTTTCAGAGCCCCTGATGGTTGACCTGCAGAGCCTTCTAAAGGGTGGGGGGGTCTTGCTGCTTTTCTGGGACAAGGTTATGAAATGGGGACTGCTACTTTTTCTTGCCCATCCCACCTGCAGAAGGGGCACAGTAGGAAGAGTAGGGTCTTCTGGGAAGGAATCCTGACTTCACCATTTTCTGACTGTGTGACCTTGACTAAGGGACATTGTATCCCTGAACCTCTGTGTCCTCATCTGTGAAATGGAGCCGATTGCGCCTGTAGCACGCGCTGTTGTGAGGACTGAGTCGATGATGTAGCTGAAGCCCTTGGGCAGCTCCTGGCACCTCCTAGGTGATTAACATGTGTGAGCTTCTCCACTACTGGGTGCACTCTTTCCCCCCATCTTTAGGGAAAGGAGTGAGAAACTCAACTTCAATGCCAATGAAGTTAATGGGATGGCTCCGTAGCCAAGTGAGACCATTACTGCATTTCCATGGAGCCAAGAATCTCCAGAAAAGGAAATGAGATTCCTATGATAAAATTCCACAGTATAAGGTGGAAGGAGAGATCTAGGGGCCAGTGTACCCCAAATCCCAACAAACAGGCTGAAATTTATTCCAGTTAGGCACGAGTCCAAGGCTGATGTCTGCATTCCCGGAAGGGTTCAAATAATGTGCTCCTCTTGCAGCGTTGGCCGTGAGAACCCAAACTTCGGAGCTTGACATTTAAAGTCCTTAACAGTTTGTCCTCAGCCACGGAAAACCACCCCCGAAACCTCTTAAGTCAACTTCATAGAAGTATAATTTACACACAATGAAAGCTGCCAATTTTAAGTATACAGTTGGATAAGTTTGACAAATAAGTACCCACCCCACAGTCAAGGTACGGAACAGCTCGCCCCACAAGTTCCCTCCTGCCCTTTTCCAGTTCAGCTGGCCCCAGGCTACTGCTGCTCTGATCTCTGTGGATTCCTTTAGAACTTCATATAAATAGCATCAAACAGTGTGTTCTTTTTCTGCCTGACTTCTTTCGCTCAGCACAATGCTTCTGACATTTCTCTGTGTTCTTAGGCGTATCAGCCACTTGTGCCCTTTCGTTGCTGAGTTGTAGCGTTCCTTCGTGAGGACAGACACAGTTTGTCACACCCCGGTTCTCCAGGTTTGTTCCCCCCCATTCTCTTTAGCTGCATCTCCTGCTGTTGTTCCTCCCTCATTGGACCTGTCCGAGCCTCCACCTGTTTCACTCAGTGGTCTCCTGAGTAGCCCTGCACTTTCACAACCCCCAGCCTTTGCTCGTGCTGCCGCTTCTGTGTCGGATGGGCTGCTTCTGCTCCTCTGCCCGGCAAAATCCCACGGTTCTGGCAATTCCCCTTCTGTGAAGCCTCTCTGGCCCAAGGGCTCCTGGGCCTCTTGTCTACTGCACCATATTTGATAACCAAGTCTCGGACAATGGAACCATCACCCGCAATGCTTCCTAGAGCCCATGCACTTGTGGCTTGCTCACTGATGTGAGCGTGGGGAGATGCCAAGAGAGAAAGGAATGCTGGGATAGCACCTCCATCTACTACAGCTTTGGTCTGTTCTCTTGCCCCAGAAGCAATGTTAGTGAGGGCCCAAGCAGATTCATACTGGGTGGGACTGCAACCAATTCTGTCCATGAAGGACACGACTTTTGTAGTCAAGCCAGTCCAGGTTATGCTGTCTGTGGGTGGCTGTTTTCCCCTAGAAAGCAGTTTCCTGGTGGTTTGAGTAGTTCGGAGCTGGCTTTCCAAATGGTTGCTATTGATGCCTTTGACAGTGTCCTCGGCAGACCAATTTCCAGTGCCCCGCGTGTTGTGGTTTGTCTGCAGGGGAGAGGTAGCATCGTCAGGAAAGGAGCTCACATTTCTCCTTTTCAGCATCTGGTCATCCTTCTTAGCTTTCCCAGCTCCACATTAACCTCTACGCGGTGATACCTCCTTCTGTGCTCTTTCTCCGGGTTCTTGAGTCTGTTCAGGCGGGCACCTGGTGAATGAGCGTTGTCATTGGTGGACATGGTTATGAGACTCAGGGAGAAAGCTACACAGCCCGCTCCGGCGTCCTCAGGGGACAGTGCAGGGCACACCGGCTGTAGTTAGGCTGCTCTGAAGACGTCCACCGTGGATTACCCTGAAGACGGTGTTAAGGCCACCCTCCATTTAAAAAATATATATATTTTATTGGTTTTTTACAGAAAGGAAAGGAGAGGGATAGAGAGTTAGAAACATCGATGAGAGAGAAACATTGATCAGCTGCCTCCTGCACACCCCCTTCTGGGGATGTGACTGCAACCAAAGTACATGCCCTTGACCAGAATCGAACCTGGGACCCTTCAGTCTGCAGGCGATGCTCTATCCACTAAGCCAAACCGGTTAGGGTGAGACCACCCTCAATTTTGACATCAATTGCAAGTTTGGGGGTTCCTAAGATTACCATTTGAGTTGACAATATGCTAGAAGGACTCACAGAACACACTGCAAGCTGTTATGCTCATGATTATTGTTTGTTACAGCTAAACGGTACGGCTTAAAGTCAGCCAGAGGGACAGGCACAGGTGACAGAATCTGGGAAAGTTTCTAACATGAAGCTTCCAGTTGTCCTCTGCCATGGATTATGGATAGCACTGCTTTCCCAGCAACGATATGTAACAATATGCACGGGTATTGCCACCCAGGGAAGCCCACCTGAACACTGGTGTTCAGAGTGTTTATGGGCTCCTCACGTGGGCATGGTTGACTGCCCGTATGGCTGATCTGTCTCCATCCAGCCCCTCCAGAGGTTGAGGTGATACCATGTGACCCCCCCACTCCACATCACACTGTTAGACTACCTGGGGTGACCCAAGGTCCCCTAGCAAACAGAAACACTCCTGGTAGGTATGACATTCCACAGGCTTAGCGATCCTCAGAAGACAAGGGACATCTCTCTGGACAAGGTTAAGTTCTTTACTCCACACATTCCTTTATAGCTGAATATTCCAGTGTCTGGATCTACCACATTTTATTTATTCATTCTTTAGTTGTTAGATGTTTGCATTGTTTCCACTTTTTGGCTATTATGAATACTGCTGTGATCATTTGTGTACTCGTTTTTGTGTGGACATAGGTTTTCATTTCTCTGGGAGTGGGATTTCTTGGGTCATATGATAGCTCTCTGTTTAACCTTCTGAGGACCTGCCAGACTCTTTCCCACAGGGGCTACTCCATCTGTTCCCTGCACTCTTACGGAGCGAGGCCGCTCCTCAGCCGGACCAGAGCGAGAACCAGTTAGCTGACCCTCACTGTCTCTGAACAACAAAATGCCAATAATTTCCGGACCATCATTTCTTTCCCCATCCTCAACTGAAGATGATATTTTTTGCGTTCTTATTTTTTTTTTAAAAAAAAAACACGTATTTATTGATTTCAGAGAGGAAGGGAGAGGGAGAGAGAGATAGAAACATCAATGTTGAGAGAGAATCATTGATTGGCTACCTCTTGCACATGTACACCCCCTACTGGGGATCGAGCCCACAACCCTGACTGGGAATCGAACCGTGACCTCCTAGTTCACAGGTGGACACTCAACCACTGAGCCACACCGGCCAGGCGGGGCCACCATTCTTGGAGGCCTCTTCTTTTCCCTTGTTCTGAGGGGCACATTCATCTCCCTCTGCTCTGGGTTCCCTCAGCTCTACCTGCTGCCCTGAGTGCCTTCCACGTCCACAGCTCCCTCAGGGGTCCTCTCAGCAGTCCTCACCTGTGCAGCACACCTGCCCCAGTCTAATACCCGAGGGCCATGGGCCACATCTCCTGCTGGTGATCCCTCCCACGCACCTTTTCCCAGTCCTGGCTGTCCATCAGCATCACTGGGAGCTTCCCAAACTACTGTCATGTGGCCCCGCCCCCAGAGTCTGCACCACGTGTTAACTGAGCACCACTCCATGGCAGGCACTGTGCCGGGTGCTGGAGTGACAGTGGTAGTGAGATACAGCCACTGTCCTCAACCTCACAGTAGTGGGAATGGGTATTTATTGAGTGGGATAATCAATATTTTAAGAAATACCTACCAAGAGGCCACCTCTTGTAAATTCCTGTTGGGAAGGAGAGCTTTTTATCTCCTATATGAGCAGAGCGGGAAGTTGTTACCTTGATGGAGTTGGAAGGGAATTTAGTAACTGAGTCCCAATGCCCCAACCCCCCATTTTACGGATGAGAAAACCAAGGACAAATGACCAAGTTTTCTGCGCTGGAGGAGGAAGGTGGTGTCTGAGAGCCAGAGGCTCTTGTAGTAGGGTATCCCTGCCAGCTGCTCTTGGGATGGCGGGAGAGGGCAAGGAGGCTGCTTTTGGGAGAGTTTTTCCGTCTTTATCCTCTAGATCAGCAGTCTGATGTGGTACAAGGCAGGCTGGTGTGTGACTGGCTGGTGGTGATGATGGTGGTGGTGATGGTGGTGGTGGTGGTGGTGGTGGTGGTGGTGGTGGTAGAGGGGGTGGAGGGGTTTCAGGCTGTCAGGAGGTTGTGAAAAGAGCAAGAGGCCAGGACACTTGATTCTCCAGGGAAGGTTTGATTTGGTCCTTGAGGGGAGGCAGAGCTACCTGTTGAGGCTGGGATTAAGGGGGGGAGGTGCATCTTTTCCTTTAGAAAAGTGGTTTCCAAAGTGAGATGCACCTAGAAAATCCTTTGGAGTGTAGTAAGAAAATATTGGAACTTCTATTTATAGTTTTAAATAATCAATTTAAAATTCTTTTTTGGTGTGTGAATTTTTAAAATACACATATTAGTTCAACAGCACAGATATAATACTAGAGGCCCAGTGCACGAAATTAGTGCACTCTGGGGGTGGGGGGTGGGGGTCCTACAGCCCAGCCTGCACCCTCTATCGCAGTCTGGGAGCCTTCGGGGGATGTCCAACTGATGGCTTAGGCCCGCTTCCTGTCTAAGCTGGCAGTCAGACATCCTTAGCGCTGCCATGGAGGCGGGATAGGCTCCCGCCACCTCCGCTGAGCTCGCCAGCCGTGTGCAGGGCTTCTGGCTGAGCGGTGCTCCCTGTGGGAGCGCACTGATCACCAGGGGAGAGCTCCTGCATTGAGCATCTTCCCCTGGTGGTCAGTGCGTGTCATAGCAACCAGTTGTTCCACCGTTGGGTTGATTTGCATGTAAGCCTTTTATTATATAGGACATAAACGTAAAAACATATATGCATTGAGGGTTTCAAACTTCAAAAAAAATTTTTAATTTTTTACTGAGAAGTGCAGCCAATATAAAAGGTTACCAGAACAAGACTGCAGGGGTCGGGGAGAGGAGTCCGAGGGGGTGGGTGTAGAAAAGATAGACTCAGGATAGCTGTTGGCGGCCCCTGCTGGCCGTTACCAAAAGTGCAACATTACTCAGTACAGCTCCGGATCTACTGAAATTCAGAATACCCACCCTGAGTTTTATTCCTCTCTGTGCCCTGACTCCCAAAGCTCTGGGGAAGCAGAGACACTGCCTTCATCCTTGTAACCTCTGGGACGAGGCAGGGAGGAAGGCAGAGCTAATTACAGACCCCAGAGGGGGAGGACTCATCCCTCCACTTCCTTATCCCCACCCCACCCCCACCGGAGTGGCAGCCCCTAACTGCCATGCATTGTGGACCCCTCAAACCGGCTTCACTTCCCTGATACTCTATTCCCCACCAGTAGCACCCTCATTCCTTTGGGCCCAGCTTAGAACATTTATTGCACCTCTGTTATATCACTCAGTGATACCACCAGAAAGTGTTGGGTGTCTGACACCCTCCTCCCGTGGTGGTGGTGAGCTCTACCCAGGCTGTGAGCTCTACCCAGGCTGTGAGCTCCAAGAAATCAGGAGTCACTGAAACTGGCACTGAAGCTGCTATCTGACTCAGTATCACTGAAGCTGGCACGTTGTCTGGAACAGAATAGGAGCATCTGCATCCAGAAATGTCCCCCCCCCCCCCCAACCTCACAGGGCTCCAAAAGTGCAACATTACTCAATACAGCTTTGGTTCAGTGAGAATCAAACAACTTATAAGGTCCTGAACAGATGGGAGGGGCCAGCCTTTTACAAAGTCCTTAACAGAGAGATACTGTTGACTGGCTAATGGGGGAAGCGCTAGTAAGAATAATGAGTTGGGCTCCACCTTCCTAGTGGGCCAGAATCTGGGCTCTCACTTGGACTTAGGGACCCTGAATGGAATTGAAGCTGGGGGTTGCTGTGTAGTAATAGTTACTTGATTGAGAAGTAATTAATGTTTTGGAGGGATTCGGGATCCTTCCACTTCCCAACCAAATGCAAATGGCAGAGCGATTCCTTGCCCAGAGATTGTCAGGTGAGAGTGGAGGGTAGCCTTCGTAGCGGGAAGGGAACTTCTTTTTGAGTTGAATTAGGAGGATCTTCTGGCTTGAAGACAGGGGAGAGAGTTGGAAGCAGTGTCTCCAGGGAGCCTCTTTGGTTTGAGACAGAAGCCTGCAATCACTGGCTCTTTTCTCTTCCCTCAGTAAAGGCAGAGAGGGCTTTGGGTAGAGTGTGGCCTGGTGCTACGGCTTTTGCCTATACACCTATACACCTGTGCCCTCGGAGCTCAGGGGCAAGCCGAGTTTCCAGGGACCCAGGGACCAGTCAGTCTTCTGCTTCTGGGATGAACTCCCAAGTCAAACCCATTTCTGAGATTTCTAAGCAAGTTTTCAGGGTAAGTTCCTTAGCAGCACAGTAAGCACGTAAGAGGGATAACTCCTGCATATTCCAGAGGGCAAGTGGAGGGGATGGGGAGACACCCAGGCCAGGCTAGTGCCGTGGCTGGTCCCAAAGGCTCCATGCACTGAGCAAAGGGTGGTCAATGGGAGCGTCTAGCATTCGTAGGCCTTACAGTGTCTTTCACTAGGAGGTCTGGGGTGGAGCCAGAGGCTGGCGAAGGCGGGCAAGTAGGTTTAACCCTTTATTTACTTCTTGAGATGGGCCTCTGACGAAGGGTAGCGAGTTACTAATTTCTGTATTCCTTAGACAGGGGTATGGACCAGGTCTCTGGTCCAGGCTTAAAATAGGGTCCTGAATCCCTTCACGAAGACGCCCCCCCTTCTTTTTTGCAAATTGTTCCAGAGAGTCGGGGATCCAGGTATCTATCATTCGAGTCTTTAAAAACTGCCCCTGAGCCCGAGGCCCCGGAGGGGGGGGGGTCTCCTGCTCTTTGGCGGCCTCCCTAAACTCCCCCTGTTCCCTTTCCCGATTGGAAAGGAGGATCACGAGGAAAAGCGAGGCGCGCTCGGAACTGGAACGCGGATCTAAACTGCGGGAAAGGGGCGGAGTGGTCGTTCACTCATCATCGCCCTTTTAAGGGATCTCGGGCGACGGGGACCCTGGTGGTGCAGATCCAGCTCGTGCTCCCCGGAGTGGGCAGGATGCAGGGGGTCCCGGGCTGTGCGACGTCTCTCCTACCGCCACCTCCCGGCCTGCCCACTAGCTGCTCGAAAGACCGCTTTCCCCGGGGCTGCCCCGCGCCCCCTCCTTCCCCCTC